TGGGTGTCTTGCTCTGGCAGCCCGAGCACACGACTACGCTGCTCACCACCAGATCGCTCGCCGGCACCCCTTTTTCAGTCCCGTAAGTATAAGACCGGCGGTTCTCAGGGCTCCCCAGTGTGGCGACTTCCCAGATACCAGAGTGCATGATTTCTCCTGTCTGTTCAGTGAGCTCCAGACTCGTTTCAAATGCTGTCATGCTTTTGGACGTCAGAACCGCCTCGCGAGAGAAGCGGGAGAAAGCTGGTTGTCCCCATTTTACAGATGAAGCAATGGAAAGTCGGAGATGGCCTGAGATAACCGAGCTAATAGGTGGCCGCATCTCAACAGAGCTTGCCGTCCACACCTGTCTCCAAGAGGAGATACGGGCCACGTCATCCTTCATCAGGATGCCGATGGCTGTCCTCGCTTCTTCCTCGTCCTGCCAGCACACGTGCACACATTTCTTTTCCTTCTCTCTCCGCGGTAGAGCCGGGCCTTTATGTCACAGCAGCCGGAGCTCCCGTCTTTGTCACAGAGCCTGGCCATCACAGAGATCTGTTGGGAGTAGAGGACGGAGGAGGGATGGGGAGGGGGCTGGGGGCGCCCCGGGGTCGGGGGGGGGCAGGAGCACCTGACCCGGGCTGCGGGGAGATCCCGTGCAGGCCCCACAGCGGGTTTGCTCCCAGCTACTTAAGGCAACACCTTAACACATGGTGCGCACGTGGCCATAAACTGAAGCTCCTTTCGGAAGTTCGCCTTCCTCAAGCCTGTTGGTCTGTGTAGAGCCAAAAAAAAAATCTGTTTGGAATCACAGCATTCCTGGGAAAATGTCAACTCTCACACCCCATTGTCTCTGGAGCTGACATGCATCTTCTCACTTCTGAGCACAGAGACGGTTTGCAGTGGCCCTATTTTGGGGAGCAGGCTGTTTGTGGTGGGCCTATTGTTCCTCGGCAGCTGAGCACGCAGGTCTGGGCCTGTGGGGGGGGGGAAGGCCACCACCGCGGCACCGCCCCACTCCCCAGCAGCTACAATGGGGGGGGGGTTCTGCTGATAAATGGACCCGGAGGGGCCAGCTTGCGGCGCCCTGAGGGCAGCGTTGTTTCCTGTAGCAATACCTGGGGCGGTGGGGTTGGTGAGGAACTGAATGCAGGACGAGCTTCTGCTGGGTTGGGGGGGGGGGCTGCGTGCGGATGGCGGTGTGGAAGGCGTAGGGGCATGAGGACTATCCAGGCACGACTTGGAGAAAGTAGGGTTTGAGCCCCAGACGCAGCAGAAGAGGTCCGAGATGAGCGCCCTGGGTAATGAGACCACTCGGGCCGTCTTGGGGAGCTGGCCTTGTGCTGGCTCAACCGCAGGAACGCTAAACAAAGAGGCCGGGCTTCCTGTCCTGGCTTTGGCGAGTTTTGAGTGCCCTTGACCCCTGGAAGAACAGGGTGGGAAAGGCCCACCGCCAGGTGGAGACTCCTGAGTTCACTCCTGGCTGATCCCTGGTGGCCTGAGCCAGCTTCCAGCTCTCTCCACCTGAATCCCTTCTCTGACCTTCCTCTTCCCCTCGTGACCCAGAGCATCGCCTCATTCCCATCCTCCTGTTTATTCACGCGGTTACTCACCTGAGTATTTTCTGAGACGTCCAGATGTGGACAGAACCAACCTGTGTCTCCTTGGAGCCCTTTAGGCACATGGGGCAGGCAGGTAAGTAGACGACATGTACAGATTATGTGCTGAAACAGGATTAGAAACAGCTCTGCGGAAGCACAGAGGGGCCAGCAGTTGACCTCGGGTGCAGGTAGGGGTGGGGCCCGGACTTAAGGAAGAGCTTCACGGAGGGTGTCGCCATTGGGAGGAAACCTTAAGGAACCAACAGGAGTTCTCCCGGTGCCCGCGGCTGACCGGGGGGTGTGAGCATTCCAGTAATGTGGCCAAGTGAAAGGCCCCAGATGCTGTGGGGGGCAGTGAGTGGTCCTGGAGGGCTGAGCTACAGTCCTGTTCGAGGGAGGCCTGCTGGCCTCGCCCTCCCAGGGATTCTCCTCAGAGGCACGGGTCCCAGGGACAGGGCCCCTGTCAAGCCGCCTGCACTTAGGCCTAGCACTCACCTGGACTCGGGGGGCTGGGGTGCACACAGGGTTTCCCTCTCCGCTTCAGTTCCTGCCCAGGGACTTGGCAGTGATGGGGGATGCCACCCTGACCCAGAGCCCGAAGAGGTGACAGGTGTCTTCTTTAAAAACAATGCCCAGCCCAGGCCAACCTAAAACCCGGTTGGGTCTATACCGAATAGGACCTCACTCACCACAGGTAGCAAATCGGAGATGTGCCTCCAAGAAAGCAACACTGAAAAAGCTGGAAAGAGAGGATGGGAAGGGCCTTTGTGGTGGACGCCCAGCTGGTAACCGGAGGGAGGTGTCTTTGGGAGACGATCGTCGTCCGTTATGTCGCTGTCGGCTTACAAAGGCTCTCCATGAGGCCCTCCCCACACTGGTGAACTGGTCAGGGACAGGCTTATTGCCCACTGCGACGTGAGAGCTGACCCCCCTCTCCACACTGGGGTCCCTTGGAGGCTAACTCTTTCTTCCATGAGTCGCCTTCACGTCGGGAAGCAAGGAAGCCCCTAGTCTGGGGCAAGAACCTGGGCCCTCCCTGCTTCGTAATTTGCTTCTAGAGCCTTGCTTTAAAAAAATCATCTGGCTACATCTCCTGCGGGTTCCCTTAGCCACTAAGGAGCAGAGCCAGGACTGGGACCAGCTTCTCCTGGAGGCCTGTCCGGTGCTCTGGGCCAAGCGGCCAGGCTCCCCTGCCCTGGACCTCCATGTCCCGGCTCTCTCTGCTTCCAGAACAGCCCCCGGAGATAGGGACCGGCGCTCAGGGACCGGGGAGGTGGGGGGTGGCTGGCTGGGCCGCTGTGAAGACCTCGGTGTATGGGCAGTGCTGTGCGTACCTGAGCCATGGCGTTGGGGCGGGGAGGGTGGTGGCAAAGGAGCTGCGGGGACCCGTTCTGCTGCCTGAGAAGTGGACTCTGGTCTGCCCCCAACATCTTCCCCCCTCTCCCGCTTGCCTGCTGTGCAGGCAGGTTCTCTGGGATGAAGGGGGGCTGCCCCAGACCCTTGCAGGCCAAGCGCCCCCTCTCTGTGCAGGAGCCCTGGCCACCTGTTGTTAATCTAGCCCTGGTAATCCATTCTGTACTGTGTCAGCAGTTCAAAAGGGCACTGTTAGTATTTTTTGCCGACTTCAATTAATGTGAGATTTCAGAGGCCCCTCTGATCACATTTCATCTGTCACAAGTCAGGAACAAAACAGACAGGTTCCAGTCGAGAGGAGGAAGGAGAAGGAGTTTATTGCAAACACCGACCAAACAGACAGGGTGGGCTGTGCCCAGGGAAGGGCACCCCGGAGTGCCCAGTTGCTGCCCCTCAAGCCATTTGGGCCCCATGCCTAGGCCCTAGTCCCCTTCTCGCCAATATTCCTCCCCTCCCAAAGAAGATGTAAGTGCAATAACTTACTTTGAAAGGCAAGAAATGATTCTCTTAATAGTTTGCTATAATGTAGTTACACGGTGCTATAGGGCAGTAAAACTTTATGGAACTGACCTCATTTTTTTTAAACATTTTTTCTGAATTTTTAATGTATTTTTAATATATATTTTTAATATTCCACCCCAGGCCATTAAGCTAAAGGAAAAGTTGCGTTTATACAGGGTTACAATATCTTACAATGAGAACAGTCAGTGTTGGGTGAGGTTCACGTTCCTTGGAGCGCTCAGCTCCCTCTTCAACCACTGCACATCCAAACAGGTTATCAGGCATTGAAAACTGTCCTTCAAAATCAGTAGTATAAACGCCTAGCTCTATGTGTGTACGTGAAGGGGGAGAGGCGGAGGGTGGGATTAGGTCACGTTTGGTTCGCCAGAAGGCCTTTCCTCCCTACAGCATCCTCGGTGAGGTGAAGCGGGGTTGTTGCGACTTTGGAAGTAGGGTTCTCGTGGTCTTCTCATTTTTCTCTCTCATGGCCGTGGGTGATTATCCTGGGGCCGGTTTGCCAACCATCCTCCCCCCAGCTAGTCTGGTGTGCCTTTGCCCCTGATAGGGCCATCAAGCAGACCAGAGGCCCCGGGGTGTCCTACGAGACGGTCTCCCCTCAACCTGGCTGCCCAAGCGAGATACACGGTAGCTTTCATGGACAAGCTCCTCTTGGCTACCCAGGCGAAAGGAGGGCCCGTGGGGCACTGGAGCTGGGCCCCACGTGGCCACTGCCGCAGATGCTGGGGACCCACCTCGAGACTGCCGCCCCCCCCCGCCCCCGTCCCCTTGCAGTGTCTTCCAACCCACCTGGCCACCATGCTTTCCCGAGCTGGAGGCGCGGTAGTGAGAGCCGAGAATCAAGTATAGCGGAAAGGATTCAAGAAAGGTTACAAAGTCCGTGTGTCCCCCCCCCCCGCCCCCCGCGCCGTGCCATCGAGGATGTGGGGACAAGCCTCTCCGTGTGCCTCCAGGGCCCTCTCCCCCCGCGCCCCGGGAGTCGTGAGGGCAGCACCTTTGCGTCGAGCCCCCCCCCACCCCCCCCCCGGCCGCCTGGCCTTGTTCCCAGCGGGGCCCGGAGGTTCTCAGTGCCGAGGAGGCTGCCCGTCGGTCCGCTGACTCCTCAGGCTCGCGTCTCTGTCTCTGTCGAGACCTTGGGCACGGAGCCAAAGGGAATCCTCAGCTCGTGTAGCTTATTGGCTTGGCGGTGACCCACCGGGGCCGGCTGGCGCCCCTCTCTGCCCACCTGCCCGAGCCCTCGCGCCCGAGGAAGGCAGCCCGCTGGCCCCAGAGAGTCGGCCCGAGCTGCCGCGGGGACGCCTCCTGCCCTCCAAGGTCTGGGCCTGGCTACCCGCGGGGAAGGCGGCCAAGGGAAGGCTGAGGGGAGGGAGGCCCGCCGGCAGAGAGGGGAGAGGCAGGGGAGAGGCTGCGTGAGGCTCAGGCCCTGCGTGTACCCCACTCCCCAGGGCAGTCACGCCCCCCTCTGTCCGCCCCCCCCCCCCCCCCCCGCCCCGGGCTGGGACCTTCTCATCTCCATTGTGAAGGGAGTGTACTAAGTAGAGGATCTTTAAGTCCCTCCCAGCGCCGGGTTTTCTGATTCTCTGAGTATTGGGCCGGCCCTGGGGGACCTGGGGCAGGGAACTACCTGTGGGGAGTTGAACAGGCACATTTCACCCCGACATTTGAATCATAAATACTTGGCTCTGTCGGTGAGAAGGGCAGCCAGAAAGCAGCCAGATAGAGGAATTGAGCACCAGGGGTCCCTTCCAGAAGAATCTGCCTAGAGCCCCCTCCCTTCCCTCCTCCTCTGGGGATCTCCCAGTTCTCCATCTCTCTGCACGGATCCCCTCCCGGCTAAGAACATGTGTGATGAGGGTTCCTCCCTTGTCCTTGCCAGCCACCAGAGCCCTTAAGGGGAATGATTCCCAGCCTTAAGTGCTTCTCCCTTTCCCTTCCTAGATTTGGGGAGCCTGAGTTATTTCAGTGAACCTCAGAACTGCAAAAGGCTTCCTAAGAGTCATTCCAAGATCCTCAGATATATGGAACATTTAAAACCAACATTTAACTCCATGTCCAAGATGCTTTTCACTTCTAGAAGATCCATGTTAGAGCTATACGGTTCACAAAGAGGTCTGACTCTTACCAAGGGAAGCCAAAGCCAGATCCTTCCCCAGGCCTGTTTCCAGGGCCGAGAGCACAAGGCAGGGGGGGAACTGTGATTCCTTCTAAGCCTTGAGCGGCTCAAGGGCAGAGGATCTCACCCTCCACCCAAACCAAGAGGCTGTCCTGTGTGCAGGCCCCCAAGCCTGCTGCACTTGGCCCTCCTCCCTGACTTGTGCCCAGGGGCTGCCTGCTGGAGGGGCCTCTCGGGCTCTCAAGGCCGGCCCCAGAGGACAGGGACCGTGTGCCACTAGGTTAGGTGACGGCTGGATCTGCTGCCAAAACTCGAGCTGCTCGTCTCCACTCAGGCAGAGGTGGAGTTCCTCCCCAGAAGGAGGCACCTTCCTGCAGGCAGGGAAACGGCTTCTGGACGGCATCCTGCCCCCCACATCTGGAACAGAGCGACCCAGAGGAGCGGAGCCCACCAGCCCTTCTAGAGGCTGGAGAGAGGGGGCTGAGATTTCGGGTTCCCTAGGGATGAAGGGCAAGAGCAGGCTCTCTCTGCCCTCGCCCGGAAGAACACGGGGCCCCCACCCACCGTGGAAGGCTCTGGGCAGGTAGGGTGCCGCTCCAGAGATGGCTGGCGAGGGACAGGCAGTCTGAGGCGGTTGTAGGGGCCGAGAGGCAGAGTGTGAGCACAGATCCTTTAGCAAATTCCGCATGCTGCTCTCGACCCCCCTCTCCCAACATGACTGCAGGCCCTACTCGTGTGTTCCGAGGTATAAGTCCTTCCACGCCAGGACACTGCTCAGCAGCCCGGGTGAGCTCCCAGAATGGGTGGGGGAAGGGACAAGCGTCTCCAGGTCCTCCTGGAGGGGCCTGACTGGCTAGAGAACAAAGCTGCCCAGACCTGCCCACTGCAACAGGCATCCTGCGGGTTGTGGGCTGTCGGGCGGTCAGGAGAGCAGAAGTGAGTGCCTGAGCCCCTGTCCCTTCCCGGACACCTCCTGGCAGCTCTTCCTCTCTCTAGAAGCTCTTCTTCTCGCAGCCCTGTGGATGCTGTGGGTGGCCTGTGTCCTCCCCTTGCAGTGTTCACCGAGATCCAGAGTCTGCAGGTGCAAGGGAGCTGGAACAAGCCCCTTCGGGGACGGTCCACTCTCCTAGACGCCAGCATTGCTGGATGACAGCAGGATTCTTCAGCTCCAGCCCCTCTCCTGTTCTGTCCAGCGCTCCAGGTGGGTCCAGCGCAGGGGCACGGCCAGGGTGGGTGGAGGTGAGGCGGGTGCCTTGGGCCCAGGAGGCCGGATTCCGTGGGCTTTTAGGAGGACAACGGGGCGATGGGAGGGGCAGGAGGCCAACTCTGCAGGACTCGGAAGAACAGAACTCTGTTCTTCAGCCACAGTCACTGGCCCGGTGACCAGGGGACCACACGGCAGAGGGAAGGACGGACGTGACGGCACGTGGCCGTTGCTCGGTCTGGATGGGAAACTAGCCTTGACTCAACCCTCAAACTGGGCAGGGCAGAAGAGCAGGAGTGGGGAGAAAGGGTCTTCAGCTTATAATGGATGCAAAGCTGCAAAACTCGGCCACCTGGCTTCCTCCACGGCCTCCGGCCAGGAGTGGGGGCTCGGCCTCGGTGCCAGGGCGGGCGGGACCTGCTGCCCCCTCCCTCCCAGTGGCCCACGGGGCCTCACACTTGGGGTGGCTGAAAGTGCTGAGGGCCGGGCCCCCGGCCCAGGCCAGGTTCCTAAGAGGAAAGTTGAACGGGAGGCTGGGGGCCTGGGGAGCGTGGGCGTGGCCAGGGCCCCAAGGTGGGGGAGGGCGTGGGGATGGGCCGAGCGGTGCCCTGTCATGTGGCCCAGGAGATGGCCGCACTGTGCTCCTTGGCCTTCATGCGCAGGGCCGCGATGCTCGAGGTCTTGCGGTCTGGCTCGCCGTTGAGCTCGTAGCCGTTGAGGCCCGGGCTGAGGCCCGCTGTTCCAAACAGGCCTCCCATGTGTGTCTGGCCCACGTGGCCGCCTGCCCCGGAGACGCTCAGGAAGTCGGTGACGCCGCTGGCCCCGGAGCCCGGGGGGTGGGTGTGAGGGGACATGCAGGCGGGCACCGGGTCGCAGGGGACCACACAGGCTGGCACTGGTGAGGCAGCCCCGTTGTTGCCGATCCAGGATGGGTTCTGAATCTGGGGAGAGGGAAGGGAGAGCCGGCTGGGGCAGGGCTGCGGGGGGAGGGCACGTGGGGGGCCGGTGGCTGGCCCTGTCCCCAGACGACCTCGCCCCGCTCACGCACGAGCCCTTCGTTATGCTGAGATCATGCCCGAGTGTTTACCCGGAGCCTCGCAAAACCTTTATGGCCATCCAGACCTGGGAGGGTTTGGGTTTTGTGCTTGGCTCCCAGCAGAGAGAAATTGTTTTCAGGACCGAACTTCGAACTCCATCAAGGGCCCGGTGACAGGGCTGCCTTCAGGGCACAGCCAAGCTGCTGAGGGCGGCCCCTGCCTCAGTCAGCTGACTTCGGAATTTGAGATGCAGGGGCCGACTTTCCCTCCCTGCGCCCCTGAAGGTCAGCAACTGTGTCTTACTCCCCTGTGGCTCCTCACCAGGCCTGGGGCATCTCAGGAACCTGAGAAATGGGAGCTGACCCCAACTCAGAGAGCTTTGGTGTTGGGAACGTGGGCTCTGGGCTTGCAGGTTGTGGTGTGGAGGGGGCAGGGCTGGGCAGTGGGGCCTCATCTCCCAGTGTCAAGACCAGTGGCTGAGCTTCCAAAGGCTGTGTCCTCGAGGCTTTACAACTGGCTCAGGGTGGAAGGGGCTGCCTCAGGACGTGGTGAGTGCCCACGGGTGGATGGATGAAGCCAGGCTGGATGCCCACAGGCCAGGGCGTGTGTGTGTGTGTGTGTGTGTGTGTGTGTGATGCTCAGGCAGCACGTGGGGGTGGACTGGAGGCCGACCTGGGCTGGGGAGGGCCAGGGTGAGCAGGACCAGAGGAAACGAGAACTCTCAGCCCTGTGCATGGGATCACAGGGCGCCCTCAAGCAGCTTCTGCTGGCCTGCTCTCCTCCCCACCATGTTTGTAGTCCACTCACATTGAAAGCCGAATGAGGGGGGACCTCGGCCCCCAAGTCCCACAGGGCATTGTCATGGCCACACGAACCACTGGCTGATTGGCCTGACCACATTCCTCCTGCCTGGGGTGGTGGGGAATCAGCGGCTTTTCCCTTCCCCTCGTCAGGAGGCGTGTGATATGTGGTGTTGCAGGTGGGAGGGGTGAGCCCGCCCTGTGTTGGTCCCCTCCCCGCTCCCTCCAGCAGGGAGCTCAGGCAGCAGAGATCCAGACCCAGGAGCCAGGCTGGAGGCTCATCCTCCCAGGACAGAGGGCGGGGAGAGAGGAAAGTATGCAGCAGGAGCTGAGGATGAGGTGTGTGTGTGTGTGTGTGTGTGTGTGTGTGTGAGACACCCCACATTCCTCAGCCTCACCCCAGGCCTGACCCCCTGACCCCATGGATCCCGGCAGGGGGAGGGGCAGAGCTGGTCTGGGGGCGGGGGGAGGGCATCCCGGGGGCCACGGGACAGCAGGGCCCCGGGACAGTGGGTCTTAAAGGAAACAGGAAGGCCTGCGCCACCGGCTTGCTGCTGGGTGGGGACAGGCTTGGAGCCGAAGGCAGAGGCCATGCTGCCAAGGCCACCAAGAGGCCTGAGGGGAGGGACCAGTCGCCTCTGCCAGGCAGGCTGTGGGGTGTGAGGAGTGGGCCCAGCTAGAAAGACATCTCTGCAAGAGCCGCGGTGTCGGCCACTGCTCACACCACTTCTCACCCCTTTGCATCTCTTGAAGACTCCAATGCCGCTAGAATGGGGCCAGGCTGACGGGACAGAGGAGAGGGCAGGTCGGGACACAGCCGCCTGGGAGAGCTCAGAGCTGCAGAGCGACCTTTAACTGGCTATTTAGTCCCCAGAGTACTTCTGTGTTGTCTAATTTCGGCCTTTCAACAACCTCACGAAAGAGTTGGGGTGGGTACTTTCATCGTGTCCAGTTTTCAGAAGACACCGAAGCTCGGAGAGCTCATGGCTTGTCTGAAGTGAGAAGGGTCTGGGGCCGGAGGACAGCACGTCTCGGGACTCAGACCTCCCTGTTCGCTACAGCCCTACCTCAAGCCCCCCAGCTTTCCGGACTTTGCTTTCCTAGGAGACACTTGGGGTGGCTCCTGATGGCCTGGGGACCCTGGTCTTCAGCCTGCCTTGCTTCTGATGCCCACAGCGAAAGGGGCAAACATGGCAGAGGAGAAAGCCTCCCTCTCTGTCCAGGCCTGCCCCTCCCCAACGCCCAGCCAAGCCTGGGCCGGCAGGCAGGCTACGCAGAAATGGCCCCGGCCTCGCACATTCTGGGGCGAACAGGCACACACCTGCACCGGGCTTGATGAGTCCCATCTGAGGGGGGCTAGGCCCTCCTCTGAGATGCCCATTCCCGGAGCCAGAGGGGCTGGAGCCGGCCGCTTGGGGCTGGGACTTACCTGGGCGTAGTTCTCCGCTCGGGTGAGGAGGGGCAGCTCGTAGGCAGTGGAGAAGTGGGTTCGAACCTGCTGCATCTGCCCAAAACGCTCCCTCTTCCTCCACTTGGCCCTCCGGTTCTGGAACCAGACCTACAGGACAGAGCAGTTGTCACGGGGGGGGTCAGAAGGTGCACGTCATTCCCTGGGGCTCCCACCCATCGCAGCGCATGGTCTGGGCCATGGGGCTGCAGGGAAGGGTCTGCCTCAGCCTTTAGCTTCCAGGCTCACAATCTAGAACGAGCTGTGCTGAGGGTCGGGAAGGCGAGCTTAACCCCAACTAACCACAGTGTGCTCTTGGGCCAGACTTCGTTATTCCAAGCTTCAGAATGCAGAGCAGGCAAGCGTCGCACCCACGCATCACGTCACTGGTCATCCTAGCGGTCATCTAACCAACCCCAGCACCGTGTGGCCTGGCCTGCCTCGGGCCACGGACTCCTGAGGGGAACCTGACAAAAGTTGTGACGGCTCCTCTCAAAAATCATTCTCTAGATGCTCACACAGTCTGGCCATAATTTCCCAAAAGCTCCGGGGTTCCCTGGGGCCTTGTCTAGTGGCCCAGAATCAGAATTCCTACCTGTCTGAGTCCTCTCTGCAGCCTTCGTGTTGGAAAGTCTCCCCACTCGGGCCCCCTGTGGCAGCAGAGGCCTTCAGGGATGGCCTCGTGGAGGGGGGGTCTGGGGCCGGGCCCGAGTGTAGAAACAGCAGGGCACGCTCAGGAGACCCCAGGAGGCCCCGCTGCTCAGCTGGCCAGTGGTGGGAGAGAAAGACCCGTGGACGCAGAGGTCAGATTGTGGAGGGCCTTGATACCCAGCCCGGGGCTTTGCTCTTGGTGTGGTCAGTAAAGGCGGCCACTGCGAGGTCTCATGCAGAGGGCGGCCTGACTCTAAGGAGGAGTGAAGACCCCCCTGTCCCTGAGCAGGGGCCGCTGGGGCATTGGCTGCAGTGGGGAGGGTGGTCTCTGAGCCAGGTGTGTGAGCTGTGGTCTCTGACGGGTGGGTGGGGGCTGTTGGCTCCCTTGCAGGAACACTTCTGACAGGCTGAGAACTTTCCCAGGCTTCATGGACAAGAGCTGGACTTGGGGCCTGCTAGCCCTGCACGTGGCTTGGGATCTGGAGCCGGGGCGGGGTGGGGAAGGGGGCAGGACAGGTGGGAGAGGGTGTGAGGAGGGGAGGGGTCAGCTTCCAGACCAGAAATGGCTTCAGGCTGAGTCAAAGGCAGGCTTGGGAGTCCCCAGAGAGAGGTTTCGGTCAGCTGTGTCCCTGCCAGTGGACTCAGGTGCAAGGGGGCACACCCCAATGGCAGCCCACCAGCAGCCGAGCTGAGAGCACCGAGCATCCTCGGAGGAGGGAGAAGGAGCTGGGCCAGAGGCGGGGAGGGCTGCCCGCAGGGTAGCGCAGAGGCTGCTCAGCCTGTTCCGGCTTCCAGTGGAGCCGCGCCCCCGAGCGCCCATTCCAGCCCTGGCATTGCCACTGGCCTCGCTTTCTGTGTCTGCAAAATGGGGCCAATATCTGTACTGATGTCCTCACGGGGGTGGTGCCTCATAGAACAGCAGGTGAGGGATGATAAATGCTGTCACAGAGTTTCTGAGAGGACTGCACACTCGTTTACTTATAGCTCCTCACCTTTTTCTTGCTGTCTTTCGCTACAAGGAAAAGAAGCTGGGATGTGTGTGACTCATGTTAGTGTGGGGAGGGTGGGGGCAGGGAGCCAGTGTGGCGTTGCACCTCAGTTTCCTTCCCTGGTCCCAAGGACACATGCATGTGTGCCTATGCACGCGGACGCGCACACACGGGCTGGCATTGCTCTGACAGTCATTCTGCCTCCCTGACTTGAGCCTGGTGTAGGAGACGCACTCAGCCCCTGCTCCAGAGCCTCCTGGGCCCCTTTTCCTCCAGGGGCTCCTGGGGTCCAGGCCCAGGCCGCCCGCTGAGAGCCAAGGGCGGATCGGGTCTCCTCTCTGCGCCACTGAAACGGGATCCCCCTTTATCAGTGGCCTGGAATGGGGGCCGGGGGGCAGGATGAGAGAATGAATCAGAGGAGCTTGTTTTCATTTCATGTTTAATTTCCTGCAGGCTTAGCTCCGTCTTTCCGCTCCTTCCTCAGCCTCCCAGGGTTTGCTGGGGGGGAAGCCAGGGGGAGGGGAGAAGCCCACTGGAGGCATCAAGATATATGGCTCCATTCTTTCTTCGGGGGGTGGGGAGAAGGTGAGGAAAAGTGTCCGTGGCCGCCACTGTGGGGGGTTTGCCGGGAGCTCCGGTGGTGGGAGGCGGGAGCGGCAGGTGGAGGGGTGCTCCTGGAGATGTCCCGCAGGCTCTGGATGGGCTGGGGAGGCACTGCAAGGGGACGGGGGCGGCAGGTCCCAGAAGTGGGAGGAGGAGCACAGTGGGGGGAGATGGAATGTGGGGGCTGGAGCAGTGGTGGGGGTGCTGGGTTATCTGGGAAGACAGCTGAGCAGCGGGGGAGTGCGCAGAGATAACGCTGTCTTTGGGATGGGAGTGGAGGAGGGCCCGGCCCAGGGATGGAAGGGAGGGTTAAAGACCCAGAGACTTCGGGAGGCGGGAGGCTGTGGGGCAGCAGAACCGCCCAAACCCTCTTCCCTTGCCTGCAGCACTGGGCCCCGTTCCTGCGCAGGGCTGGAGCTCTTCTGCTAAGTGAGCCCCGCGGCTCTGCAGTCTCAAGCCTCAAGCCCCCCAGCTTGGGTGGCGGCCGGACATCCTCAGGGCCCCTCTGAGCTCACGGTGGAGGGCCTGGAGATGAGGCACAGCCGTCCTTCCATCTCTGGCCCCCGGAGCCTGGCGCTCGGAGAGCTCCCCACAGATGCTCTGTGCCTCAGGGCTCTGCGGCCCCAGCCTGTCTCCACAGGACAACCCTAAGGGGGAGAGGGGACCACAAGGTCCAGCCTTCCAGTCTGCATGTCGCGCCCCAGGACCACCCCGCTCCCGGCCCACCCTGGCCTGGGCCTGCTCAGCACAGGCCTCTCCCCAAGGAACCAACCGTCTTGGCAGGGGCCTCAGTAACCGCAGCCCATCTGGGGCCAGGGCGGGGTGGCCCAGGGCGGGGAGGCCTCTGTCTTATTGTCTTCAGCACCAGCTGCGGAGATTGGAATCCCAGACAGCAGAGAGAGGCCCCTGCAGCCCCTGGAGCACGGCCAAGCCCCGAGCTTCTTCCCAGGAAAGGTCCCTCTTAGAGCCGCCCACCCCCTCCCTGTCCCCAGCGCCACTCTATGCCAGGCACCTGGCTTCCCACCAGCTGAGTACGGGCCCCGAACAAACCCAGCAGGGGCAGGCAGGGGGTTCCGCCACCACTCCCCCCAAACCTCGGGGCACTGCCAGGCTCTATCCAGAGGTCTGACGCACATGGAGATCCCACCCACCCTGCTGCCTTTATACAAAGAAAAGTCTCAGAACAATATGGCCCATGTCCTGGCAGAGCCAACTAAAGTAAAAGAAACACTGGGCTGGAGCTCTGGAGTCCTGGATTCTAGTCTCAGCCCTGCCACTGAGTCACTGTTCCTGAGTCACCTGACCACAGGTGATCACGTCCCACCTGTGGGCCTCCTCCTACTTATTATCAAATGAGAGGACCAGATAGATGATCCTTTCCAGCACTAACGTTCTATATTCCTATGATCCTCCCCTTAGATGAGAAGATATGCAAACACATCAGCGTTTCCCTTTCTGCCTTGGCTGCTGGGAAGCTCAGGGTTGAAATCTGTGCTCAGTGGCAACTATGATTATTAGCCTAATGTTTGACGTAATTACCTGTCTATTTCATGGCACCGTTCTTGCTTTTAGATGAAACTAACAAGTCTTTAATTGTAGCTGCCTCAACTCCATTTTGGAAGCAGGCACAAATGGGTGTGTGCGCACACGCAGAGGGAACACTCTGCTTTGGTTATGCGATGGCACCTGAAAAATGTTCTCTATAGCCCAGTGTCGTTTCCATGGTTTGTCCTAGAAAAGCCATCCTTTTGATACTAAGTGAATTCTACTCCCAGGCACTCCCATGCACTTGTAAGGAACACACACACACACACACAGTGCAAAGGATGTATCAGTCGATCCCACACAAACACGGTGCCTATAGGAATGTCCCATAACCAGCCACCCCCTTCTCCACCAGCTCCTTCAGTTCCTCCCAATCCATGGGCTGGGCCGAGGCCAGGTTCTGGGGTTCCTGTCCAGACTCTGAGGCCCGGAGGTCACACGGCGGCCTATCCTGATGCAAATAAGACAGCTGGTGCGTGAATGCTTGTGGAATGACAGGAAAGCCTCACCTGCCCTGCCTTCCTTCCCCAACCATTCACCAGGCACTGGGCAGGAATAAGAGGGGCAGCCGGACTCCAGGAACTTGTGGCCAAACAACCCGACTGTTCACTCTGGGTACCTGCAGTTTCTGGATGGCTGCATATTTATGGTAATTGCTGGTCCTTTCTCGCATGATCCATTTTGAATGAAAACGTTTCTGGACGATGTTACAGAAGCTCTGCCTTGTTACACAGAACATGGTTGTGACTGATGCCTTAGTGAACTTAGGCAGCAGGGGGCGCCCTTGGGGCCTGCGGATAACGGAAGGCTCTGTCCTGGCCCTGAACCCACATCTGAGCCGAGCTTAGCCCAGCTGAGCTGTGTTGCTTTAAAAAAAACACAACCCAAGAACTGCTCTTTGTTCTCAAGCTGTTGACTTCCCTCACCCCACTGGAGGGGGAAAAACCGCTATCTGACAACACTTTATTTGCCATTCCTCACATGCTCTGGGATGGAAAAGTAGACTGAGCATGACATTTATTTGTGTGAAGCTGAAGCCTGAGCTTTAGTGCATGGATTTTGTCTCCTGTGTTTTGGGTACTCTGAGGTCTTTGCTTCCTCTCTGGTTCTTTTCTTGTTGTAACTTCATGCGAGGAGGGAGGACACACCTCTCTGGACAAAAGAGGTCCACCAATCTACAAATATTTATTTTTTGCCCTTGTTGCTCTGAGTTCAGCCTTCTCTACTTGGTAGGAATATAGTGATGAACAATCAGACAGTACCTGTCTTCAAGGAACTCACATTATAGTGAGAGGAGACAAACATAAAATAATTTAAGCCAGTCATATATTCTATAAAGAAAAAAAAAACAGGACAAGGTGGGAGAAGGTGACCTGATTTGCTTGTGTTATGTTATGTTGGTTTGGGATGAGTTGTGTTGTGTTGTGTTGGCTGTGTTGGTTTGGGTTATGTTGCATTGGGTTGGGTTCTGTTGGATTGTGTTGAGCCGTGTTGGGTTGGGTTGACTGTGTTATTTGGGTTCTGTTGGGTTGTGTTGAACTGTGTTAGGTTGGGTTGACTGTGTTGTATGGGTTGTGTTGGGTTGGCTGTGTTGCTTTGGGTTATGTTGCCTTGGGTTGGGTTCTGTTGGGTTGTGTTGAGCCATGTTGGGTTGGGTTGACTGTGTTGTTTGGGCTGTGTTGGGTTGTGTTGGGTTGGCTGTGTTGCTTTGGGTTATGTTGTGTTGGGTTGGGTTCTTTAGGGTTATGTTGAACTGTGTTGGGTTGGGTTGACTGTGTTGCTTGAGTTGTGTTGGGTTGTGTTGGTTTGGGTTATGCTGCCTTGGGTTGGGTTCTGTTGGGTTGCATTGAGCCATGTCAGGTTGGGTTGACTGTGTTGTTTGGGCTGTGTTGGGTTGTGTTGGGTTGGCTTTGTTGGTTTGGGTTATGTTACACTGGGTTGGGTTCTGTTGGGTTGTGCTGAGCTGTGTTGAGTTGGATTGACTGTGTTGGGTTGGCTGTGTTGGTTTGGGTTATGTTGTGTTGGGTTGGGTTCTGTTGGCTTGGGTGTTCTGGTGGCTGGATAGTGGTAGGGGGCTACTGCTTTAGCCACGGTGGTCAGGAAGACTTCACAAAGGAGGTATATTGATTTGGGAGCTGAAAGATGGAGGAGGCAGCTATCCTGGGCAGAAAGAAGAGCCAGGTTGTTCTCTGTTTCTACCCATTGGACTGCTGTGGATGTCTTTAGGTCTATCCTGTTTCCTTCCTAAGAGGCCTTCGAGGGCAAAGATCAGTCATCTTCTCCTTTGTGAAAGGGCCTGGACACTCACAGCACACAGAGCCCAGGAATATAGCTAACAGGCAACCCTCCTTCTTCTGCCCCTGCTCCCGCCAGAGCAGGAGACCTGATAGTCAGGTGGGTAAAAGCACATGGCCCTGTTTGCAGCAAGGGTGCGAGGGGCCGGCTGTCCCTGGACTGAAGTAAAGAAAGCCCTGGTGCGGTTGAGGGACAGTCAGGCAGTCCCAGCTTTGGCCACCAGCCCGAGGGCAGGCCCTGCTATCCCAGCCTCTCCCCAGGTGCCCTCACTGACCTGCACGCGGGCCTCGGTGAGGTCTGTCCTCATGGCCAGCTGCTCCCGGGCATACACGTCGGGGTAGTGGGTCTTCTGGAAGACCTTCTCCAGCTCCTCCAACTGGTAGCTGGTGAAGGTGGTTCTGTTCCTCCGCTTCTTGCCCTTGTTGCTCTCGGAGTCGGCCTTCTCCAGCGGGCTGGGCAGCTCGGCGCTGGCCCGGTCCTGGGGTGCCTTCACTCCAGCCTCCTTCACACTGAGGTAGCTGCTGTCCATCCCCACGGTGTCAGAGTCCGGCGGCAACTCTGGCTCACCCAGGGAGCTCTCTTTGGCTGAAGCGGGAGGAAACAAGGTCAGAGAACAATGACTGAACCGAGCAAGAGAGGAGGGAGGGACAGGGAGAGCCCTCCCCTGCCATTCCCCTGTCAGCGTCACACTGGATGCGAGGGCAGGAGGCCCTGGTTCTAGTCCTGACTTGCCATTAACATGCTGTGTGACCTTGGGCAAGTCCATTTCCCTCTCTGAGCCTCGTTGCCATCATCTCAGAATGGACCTCTTTTACCACCAATGTAATATGACTCTGGGTCAATCTGATCTCTTGGACCTTTAATCCCCACCCCCACTGATCCTGGGCTCCTCCTTCTAGAAGGATCCCCTTTGTCAGAACTTCTGCTTTGGGCATTGGGAATGCTGACCCAGTGCCTCAGACACCCAGGGGAAGGGAAAGCTAATTCAGCAGCCATGTCTGGCCCAACAGGGCAGGGGCAAGGAGGAGGCCAGCGTCGAGGCAGATAGGAACGCCCTTCCTATCCAGGCCTGATCCTGTTTGGGCTCAGCAGGAGCTGAGGAGATCCCCCCACCCCGCCCCGAAGAATCCAGCGTGAGGGGTCACGCCCCTCGCCCTCCACAGGTTTCACCTACTGTCCATGCAGGGTCCGGCCTGCTCCAGGCAAGTGGCACATTTACTAAAGAAGCAGGGCGGGCGCCTGCGTCCCCAGGATGCTGACGTGTGTGCCCCACTAGATTCACACTAAGCTCGAGGCCTGGGCCCACAGCCACCGCCATCTGCCAGGATGGGGCTCCACTGGTTGATTCCTAGATGCCCAGAGCTGGAAAGGACCAGTGGATCTATGTAAGTCAGGGATGAGGAGGTGGAGGCCAGCAGGGGGAGAGTGAGGCAGGGAGTGACCTGTCCACACCCAAATGGCCCCGTCAGCACCCTGGGCAGACACACTTGCCGCAGAGTCAAGGTTAGAACGTGGACTCTGGAGCTAGTGGAGGAGGGTAGGACTCCCACATGTACCTCGCTCTGGCTGTGTACTTGGGACAGCTCACTTAACCTCTTTGTGCCTCAGTTTCCCCCCTCTATAAAATGGGGATGAAGATACTTGTGGGCTCTTCCTCCTGGCATACTGTGGGATTAAGGAGGCCAACAGGCAAAGCCCTTAGCATGGCGCCGGCTCCGTAGGTTTCTGCCCGTATTGGAATCCCCAGTTCCAGTGTGGACTTCTGAGCGGCAGAGGACGCGGACCCCGGAGAAGTCTTCCCAGCAGGCGGGCCCTCCCCAGAGCATCTGGGTGCGGGAGCAGGTGCAGACCGTGGCCTGGTGTCTGGAGACCGGTGTGAGCCCTTCTCTGCGCCGCCCTCCCAGCCCGTGCGGTAATGTACCGACGATTATTAATAAGGCTTCCGGGGAGCACTGGAGAAGGCCTGCACACGTACAAGCTCTGACTGTCGCAAGCACGCGTGGCTGGTGTGAGCACCTCTTCTGGGAACAGGTCCACGAGGCGGGCATCAAGTGTCAGGACGATACTGCTGGCTCAGGTCTCCCTGCTCCGTCCGCATCCCGGCGGCTGAGGCCTCGGGCTGGCTCTCCTCCCGAGCTTTGCGTGTGCCCTGGGAAGGCACGAGGGGCAGCTGCCTGCCATCCCCACCTCTCTCTCCAAGGCCCCGACGAAGGGGGTGGAGGTGAGTGCCCGGGGCAGGCGGACGTGCACACGGCATCGGGAGAGGCCACGTGCAGGACACCCACGTGAGCCTGGGCACACACAGGCCGCCGCGGTTTCGGTGACAACGTTATGCAAACTGCAGATGGCAGCCCGGCCAAGAGCTTTCAGCAAAGATATTTATCTTGCTGGCAGACAAACAAGTTTTATGTTTTGGGTTTTTTTTAAGAGAAGAAATCCCACCCAGCCTCACCAAAAATAAACATCTCTGTTATGCAATTTCCTGGAGGCCAGACTGGGGGGCAGCCCTTGCCCCTCCTGCCCCCGCACTGATCTCCGGGCCCCATCCCATGACCCCATGGACCCTTGGAGTGTCCTCTGGCATCCGGCCTGGGATTGGGACCACCCCGCATAGCAATAGGGGCTGGGCCGCATGGGGAGCTCCGTGTTGCAGAGACCAAGGGTTGTAGGGACGAGCTCAAGCTCCGAGTTTTAACTGGGGGGAACTCACACCAGAGAGAGCAGGGAATGTGTGCTAGTTAGTGACAAAGTTAGTCCTCTAGTCCCCGGCTCTGTCCTCTCTTCCTACCCTGTGGGCTTGGGGCCTCTTCCCAGGGAGAGAAGGGTAGGGGCAGAAGGCAAGGAGCGCACAAAATCAAGGAGTCCTGCTTTGCTCCTGGGGGCAGGAGGACCAGTCTCTGAGGATGAGGAGGGAAGCCCCTCAGTGCTGACCTAGTTCTAGGCTTAGCTGGTGGGGAGGCAGCAGAACATCCAGTCTTCTATGGCAAGGAGTAAGAATCCAGTTTCTCAAACCTCCAGACACCCACTGAGACCAAGCGAGTGGGGGAGAAATGGGGAGTCAGCATGGGGTGGACAAAGACCGCCGGACCAAGAGTTGGCAGATCTGCTGTTGGTCCCAGCTCTACCATGATCTGCCCGTGACGGCAGATGACTCTTCTTACATCCCAGAGTCTCCTCTGCAGCTGGAGGTTTGATGGTGCCCCTTCTGGAGTGGGGGGAGCAGGCAGGGATGTGTCACCGCCTCGGCCCTGTGGAGTGTCCCTCCTGCCTCAGTCACCACCGGGGCCTTCCCTTAGGGTCTGGAGCGGCGAGAAGAGGGGAGCAGGATGGGGACCGGTCTGTGTCCAGGCAAACGTCGGCCAACTGGGAAACCTTAGAGATGGAAGGAATTCTGGCAAACTGATGCTTCTGGCTCCTCAAAGAAGAGGGAAGAGAGCCTTCCCATCTCAGTCTTCACTACTGATCATTTTGCTTTAAATCGGGAGGCTGGGTCTCTAATTTAGATTCCCCAAGGTCCCATGGACGACTGGTCAGAATGACAAGCCAAGACTCTCACAGGTGCTCAGTCCAAGGATCCCAGACTTGGGGTGGGAGGGGAGTCTATTTCAAACTCCTTCCACCCTACAGCTTCTCCAGCAAGGGGGCCACACGGCCTGTGGGGACAGAGAGCTCCCTGAGCTCCAGCCCATGTCTGTGTCTTGGAGGTACCGCTCACTGGTCCTCGTTCCAAGTCTCCAGGGCCCTTCCCCGAGACGGCTGCCACACCTCCCAGAGTCTTCTGTCCTCCTGTCTCAACAGCTGGGGTTCCCACTGCTGTTCCTCAGGTGGCCCCAAGTTTAATAAGACTGACACAGGGGGCTGCCAGGAACGGGCTGCGTGATGGTGCTGGCCCCTGGGCAAAGCCAGCAGTTTGCTCTCCAACCGAAAAATCCTGAGGAGCTGGGTGGAGAATCAGGTGGGTGGCCCGAGGCCTGGGTGCTTGGTCAGGATCCAGCTCGCCCTGCAGTGCCCTCCTCGACAAGACAGCTGCTGGAAACACAGGAGCCCACAACTCATGCTGAAATACTCTTGAGCAAACCCATTACCACTGACCTCCTTGGTCTCCCTCATCTGCACCTCCAGCCACCTGCCTGGAATGCCTTCCTTTCCAGCTGACCTGCAAGATCCCGTCAAACACCAGCCCCCCCAGGAAGTCCTCCCAGACTGCGACAACCATATAGACCCCTCTGTCCCCTGCTCAGCCTCTCCAATTACTGCCTGTGTTTCTGACTAGTATATAATCAAGCCCTGAGTGTCCCTTTCCTCCTATAGCACATCAGTTCCCCGAGGGTTGGAACCTCATGTCACAGACCCTGGGCTTAGCCCAGGATGGGACAGACGGCAGAGGTGCAGTGAAAAGTCGCTGAAGAATAAGTGAACAATTTCTAACAACCAAATACTGCTGAGCTCTCACTCTGGGCAGCTACCTTCGTGTGCCCACCATGTTTCGGCTACGCGCTCTGGAGCTGCCTGCAGAAAGTGACTGCTGAACCCCCGAGTGAACAGTTCATCCCGCTGGACAAGGAGGAGACAGGTGGCTAGGGTACGTGAGGAAGAGGCTCACATTCACGAGTGAACTGTTGGCAGCAGAAGTAGCAGGGGGAGATGAGATGGCCGGAGACAGGACCAACACAGACAGTGAAGGATGTCTCCATGTGGGGCAGGAGGGAACAGGGAGAAGCAAAGGGATGGGATTCCTGGAAGGGGCTCTAGAATGTAAACGTCCAGGGAAGCCAGCCCAGGACCTGCCGGGAGCCAGCTCCACACCCACCATGAGGCCGCAGTGGGGTAAAGGCCCCTGGGAGACCCTCCGCTCGCCCTGCTTCTGGGCCAGGCTTCTTCAGGGATGACAGCCCTGTGCCGCCCGAGGCTGAGCAGCAACAGAGCCCCCTGGGCCAGGCCACCTGCTTGCATCTCTGGCTTCCCCCCTGCCCCTCCTTCCCTATGGACTCTGGACTGGCGCCACGCCGATGCCCCTTCCACAGCGCGGAGGGGCCCCTGAGAGGGCTCTGTCCCGGTCTCTGGGGCCCAAGACAATGTCATCCTGATCTGCAGCTTCCCAACAGAATGTCCTGAGGTGGATATAAATCCCAGATGACCCAGAGGAATGAAGCAATGCGCGTACAGAAAACACCCAGAGCGCTCAATGGCTGCCCCTCCGAAGGTCCGCGCGCAATGGCAGCCATGATGGGGCAGCACGCCCTTCGAACCACCCCAGGTAAGCATTTCCATCAACCACTTCTGGTGAAGTAGAAGCATTTGGTTCGAGCATATATTCCAAATCAGGAGCCACAGAAGGGCCTCCAACCTCTGCCTGAACTCCGAGAAATACAAGCAATGGAAAACCTTTCTTCCTTCCCTTCCCCTCTGCTTGTTGTCCTGGTTCAACCCAATGACGTCACTCTAACCTAGTCTAACCCTTTTTTTCTTTTTTTGATCCAAAAGCCCTTGAGAGATTTCCGAAGGTGACCGTGTGTTTTTTTTTTTTATGACTGTGATTTCAAGCGTGTGCACTTCTGAAGCGGGGAGGGTGCCGGAGGCCTGTG